ATCCAAATCCAAAATTCTCTCCATTAAAAGAAAAAAAATAATCACCAAAACTTTCCATAAACCCAAAGAAAAAATATGTCAAAGTTACAACCTTAAGCCAAGGGGTAACAATTTCCCTCTTCATTCAACGCTACAGGAAAGTGAAAGTTAAAAAGGAAAGTCAATCTCATCTATAAAAAAACGGCAAACCGCAGCCATTTTTTTTCCTCATTTCAACTTAACTTTAAAGATGATGTTAATAAATTGAGTTAAAGTCTTAGGTTACTCAAGTCCAGTTTCCCCTGGTCAGTTCCGTCTGGTTATTATTTACTCACAATTTCTATAGTTCACAGAAGTGGAGGCAACGACTGGCTTTGTTCCCCCCCAAAAAAGGGAACAAAGGCACTTGGTAGGCAGAGATTTCCCGGACTCCGGAGGAGTACCCAATTTCGCTCTCCCGAAATAAAGGGAGAGCTTTTGGGACTCTACTCCTATCCAGGAGTACTCACCTTGACCCCTTCTCCCGGGGCACAAGGTTCCAAGCCGCTGAACAGCTGCTGGCCGCTGTTCATGCTGGCTCTGACGCCTTCCCAAGAGGACGGCTCCGAAAAGAGCCGCCATCGGCGCGCCGTCCCACCGGAAGTCACGCTCAAGGTAGTTCTTAATGACATTGGCTATATGTTTGAGGCTGTTACCCTACTGCAGAATAAATTTGGGACCAAACACACACCTCCCTGATGGTGTGGCATGATGGATATGTATCTGCCTATATTTCTCAGCATTCAGGACACCATTGATCCTGATCAAATCTCCAACTCCATTTGCAGAAATCCAGCCCCAAACTTGTAAGGAACATCCACCAAGTCCTTTGGCAAACAAATTGCTTCCTGCTACAGCCAAATATTTCAAATTTTGACTCATTAGTTCAGGGCACCTACTGCTATTTTTCTGCATCCCAGTTCCTACCTTTTGAGCATAGTTGAGTTGCTTAGCCTTGTTTTCATGTTGAAGGTATGGCTTTTTGGGTGCAATTCTTCCATGAAGACCACTTCTGGCCAGATTTCTCTGGACAGTCGATGGGTGTACCTGAGTTCCACTGGTTTCTGCCAGTTCTGTGCTGATGACACTGCTGGACATCTTCCGATGTTGAAGGAAGTAAGCATGATGTGTCTTTCATCTGCTGCATTAAGTTTCCTTGGTTGACCTCTGCGTCTACAGTCCTAGTGTTACCTGTTTCTTCGTGCTTCTTCAAAAGAGCTTGGATAGCATATCTTGAAACTCCAGTCTGCTTTGAAATTTTTGCCTGGGAAAGACTTTGCTGATGCAGTATAACTACCATTTGTCTATTTCCTGTGCTCAGTTTTGCATGGTGTATGACCTGTGACATAAAACTGACTTCCACAACTTCACCTTAGTAGCAGAGTTGGCTTTCTTCACCCAATTTTAAGCCTCCTACACAGCTGTTTCTCTTTCAGATAATGATTGTGTTTCACCCTACATATGAAATTGATCATCATTAGTGCCTGCTTGGTATAATTGGTTAATCATACATCTACTCCTACAAAATTCCTGATTTTGTGCAAGTTTGCAAGTATAAGAATTGATGCTGTTTTGAAGGCAAAGGGTGGTCACACCAAATATTGATTTGATTTGGATTTCTCTTCTGTTCATTAATGTTCTATTTTGTTAATTGATAAAAATAATCTATTAACACTTGTATTTCTAAAAGCATTCTTAATTTATAGCGTTTTTGCACAACTGCCTAACACTTTTGCACAGTACTGTATATGATAATAGAATTATACAAAAATAATAATCAAATAAAGGTTTATTACACTGGCAAGAGATGTGCTTCCTTTCTCTTTTCTCCCATGTGCTCTTAAAGACATCACATTTTTCTCACATTACTTTCTTGCATTATTTTCTTGTCTTATTTGAAGCATAAAGGCCAATATTATAACTGTAACCAAATTCACACCATATGCTACTCTCTGAATGAGTGGGCAGAGATGAGAAAAAGGAGAGTGAAATATAATGTTTATAATAATATGAAAAGACAAAAATCAAGATAATTAAAAGAATCTTCAAAATAGGATTTTAAAAAATCTGAATATTAAAGCTTTTCCCTTGGTCATACTTTGGATTAAGAAAAACTTTAAAATGTTAGTGAAACTGCTATTGTAGTTCATAGTATTTATAATAACAATTACAATAATACAAAAAAATCTACTTTTATATACAATAACTAGAAAAAAATCAGAAAAGCTACTAAGCTGATTTTCAAAGATACAGAAAGGAATTTATAACTCTCAGCAATTAATTTTAGATATGATCCTTCCTGTTTTACATATTGCACCAGATGCAATTATTTATCAAATGGGAACAGGTATTAATCAGCAAAATATATCAAACAGCATTTCTGATTATGTTTGTGCCATATTTTAAAAATAATTTCATAGTAGCTGACATCAGGGAAAGATTAACATGTAAGCTTTACAAAACTGGATTATTTATAACTTTGTATACATTTTATAAAAGTATAAATAAGCTCTTCTTTCCTGTATAAAGTATTTGCTTTCTCTTCCTGCCAGCATAATAATTAGGTCATCTGTCTTTTCACCTTACATGGGAAGATGTTCTAGTTTTATTAATCAGTTTCTAGTAAGAGATTTAGAAATAATCTTGTTTTAAAAACAAACACCATTTTCTCGTATTTAAATTAGATTTTTTACAATACATTTATGCAATGAAGGTACTATTTTAGGAATTTAAATATTCATTTTACATAATGAATGCCATGTGCTTCAGAGATGTCCATATTTCAATGTGGAAAATGTGCAAAAATAATAAAATATTATATGTTAACACATAAAAAGTCATAACAATACCCATATTCGTATTCTGTCATCTATAAATTGGAGAGTATAAGAGAAAAAAAAAGCCATTCCATTTGGTAAAAACATAAAAAAATACATTTGGTTAGTTCCATAGATGAAAGAAACCTTCATGCAATAGATTCAACAGATCAGCTTGCCCTTAGAATTCATATGCTCTCATATGTTTTACACAAGGGGTAACTTTTAACATAAAAATCCCCAATCTAATCTCAGGTAGGAAGAACCCAACCAGAAACCAAGTAGGAAGAGTAAATATTAACAGTCATCATTTACAAAACATAAGCCTAAAACTTAAATCTTTAAGTATAAGCATTTATGCATAAGCATAAATGTAAATAGTTTTGTTTTTCTGGTCTTTATTAGAAAACCTGATTAAAGGGTTAATTGTTTCTCACAAGTATATTTGCACTTAGAAAACTAACTTTGTGCTTGTGGAAGCACACAGACAAACACACACTGTTATCCTTAACAGGAAGGGGAGTGAAGTGATAATAACTGAAACACAGTAATATTGGGAGAAAATTAACTATTGAAATCCTTATGGCAAATGTAAGATATTGCTAAAATAGTCACAATTTTCACATCAATTAAGGTAATGCAGTTGGCAGAAATGGCGAAATTGACCACTTTAATGAAAAAAAAAAGACTAACTTTGTTTCTTCTTGGAAACTACTTTTGAATTATTTGCTTGAAACTGAAAAAACCCTGAAATTTTAATCTTTGGATTTAATAACTAGAACTGTATCTGATTATAGAAGTATAGTATGCTGTGGTATACTCCAGTTCAAAGGCTTATTCTTGCATCTGTACCAAACAAAGTGGGAACTTACTCTTTTCTATAGCCCAGTGATGGCGAACCTTTTAGAGAGCGAGTGCCCAAACTAAAAACCAAAACCCACTTATGCATCGTCGGGTGCTGGGTGGGTGTGGCCCATTGGGTGGGTATGGCCCATTGGATGGGCGTGGCCCATTGGGTGGGCATGGCTGCGGTGGTAACAGCAGACTGGGTGGGACTTCAATCAGACAATTCCAACTTTGCAAGATCTTTTTTTTTCCGCGAGAAGTTGAAATTGACTGATTGATTGAACCTTTTTTTTTTGTACATGGCGGTGGAGGCCTAAAGCGAAAAGGTTTTATAAAACCCAGCTGAAGGCCTAGGACTGGGGCGACAGCATGCGTGCCCACAGAGAGGGCTCTGAGTGCCACCTCTGGCACCCGTGCCATAGGTTCGCCACCACTGCCATAACCTTTTCCCCTTTTCCTTTTGCACACCAAATTTTGCTTTTTCCCTCTTTCCATTTTAACTTTTTTCTTTGCATTTTAACTTTTTTTTGAAATTCAATAAAGTTGCTTTTTTAAAGCTCTAATTTAAATGTGCAATCTTCTTTTGTTCTACAGACATATAAATAGAGAGAACATTTTCAAACATTTTGCTCTGAATATTTTACACTAGACAAAATAATTGTTGCCTAACAAAACAAAAGAAAAAAAGTTAAAAAATAAAACAAAGCACCATATAATAAAAAATTGCTAGAATGTTAGGAAGTTGTATATCATGCAAACTGTAACTCTTATACTGAACAGCATTAAATTTAGAAGAATTCTTTTAAAATAAATTATTAAATTGTTTTATTAATTTTACAGTAGAGATATATAAATTCTATATTTTTTTCTGTTTTACAAAGATAAGTAGTATTATTTGCTAACAAAACACTTGTTAATGGTATGCTCTTTTTAAAAATGGGGGTTGAAAATATTTCTAATAATACAATTGTAACTTTAAAAAAAAGATATTCCAACATACAAAGGCAAAGAATCATTTGCATGCCTTATTTACTGTTCAACTTATATATAGTTTCTAAAGATAATTTGGCATGGAATCCAAACATAAGGAAAATTGTTCCATTAGAAACAATATGTAGACTGTGATAATTTTTTTTATTTATGCTTTTTGCAAATATTTAAACATTAGTGTGAAAAAGACAAATAAATCAGACTTCGATTTAAAACAGGTTTGCTAAAAAGATAATTCAAAAGATTTTATTTTTTTCACATTTAGAGACATGTTATTGTAGCTATTTGTATTAATACATAGAAAAAGCAGTGTGTAAATATTTTACATACCTTTTGTTTGATGATCATGTCATTGATTTCATCAACATCACCGACGGTAACTATCTGGGATTTTATCACTTGATCCAACAGAGAAAGCCAGTGATTGAGATCTGCCCATGCCTTATTGAAATCAGCCAGGGCTGGTACCTCTAGAAGCAAAGATGATGGCATTTCTTGTTTGGAGATGGTAGTTTCCTTGGTTACTAGAGTTTCTGTAACCACAGTAACAGTTTGGTTAAGAAGTTACTGACAAGGGCAAAGTGCGTTAATACATTTTTGTAATGGTAATTATTTTAGCATTATTATTTATTTCAACTGCTGTCATTAGCAGTGTAGTCAGCTTTTTTTGTTTTGTTTTAATAATTAATATGTATTTATGTGTATTTGGGCATAGTGATAGCCCTTCAAAATGGCTCTGAACTGGAGAGAAAGGAAGCAAAACTTAATTTGCAGATGAAACAATTGAGTTTTTCTATTTCTCCATAACCTTCTGACCTCCTGATATGTGGATTTTTTTTTTGCCATATCACCATGGAAAAGATTAGCTAGCTTCTGATTTCCAACTGACAAATAATCAATAACCTCTAGCACTATTTCCATGATGATGAACAGATTCAAGAGGGGCTGGAAACAAACTAAGAGCCCAACTACTTTCCCAAAGAGTAGCTATTTAGGTTCAGGTTTATTTTCAAGTATAAATGCAAATACAATGTTCGAATTGATCAGAGACTTATTTCATTGTATAAAAAGATGTTGTTTCACTTTACACTCAACAAACTGCAGATGTATTTATTTATCATATTTATAATAATAATAATAATAAAGTTGAAAGGGACCTTGGAGGTCATCGAGCCCAACCCTCTGCTCAGGCAAGAAACCCTATACCATTTCGGACAAATGGCTGTCCAGTCTCTTCTTAAAAACGTCCAATGTTGCAGCATTCACAGCTTCTGGAGGCAGGTTGTTCCACCGATTAATTGTTCTAACTGTCAGGAAATTTCTCCTTAGTTCCTAACATTTCTTCCCATGATTACAATAAGAATAATTTTCTAACTAGGAACTCAGGACTTTAGGGTTTCCTAAAAACAGTAACAATGACAACAACAGTATCGCATAAAAAGTAAAGATTCCTTAAATTTGGAATTATATCACATGGTTCTTTTATGGAAGATGACTATAATGGGTTATGGCATTATTGCTGTCTTTATCCTAAACTGTTACTATGCTTAGTTTTAGGCATAGTTTTAGTAGTTTACATTATAAGTAAACTAATACTACTATTTTTAAAACAGACATAAGAAATACATTTCTTTTTCAATTGAACATTTAATGTCATACTTCTTATCTATGCTTTCATTTAGAAATTATGGCTATAGGCATATTTGTATTTGGGAAAAAGAGACTCAGTAAAGTTACTACAAATTGATGACTAAATAGAGCATAAAAAACCAAAAATTAGCTTATCTCAATTCTAATTGAGAGCTTGACAAAGTGACAGAAGAGTTTCAACTAACATAACTTGGAATACATATGTCTAGTCTTGAAATATGCAAAGAACTCCATACATGTCATTGCAAATAACACTTATAGCACAGAGGATAATGTAGGTCAAATACTCCAAAGGTTGGTGGAGAAAAGAAATAAAACATTGGCATTTATTGCTCAATTGGGCATTGGAATGTTTCTGAATGAAAAAACATAAATGTGTGAAATTTCTAACCTTAATCCAATTGTCAGCAGGAAGAACATATTGCTAAGTCAAGGGAACACCACGGCTAAATCAAATCATAAATGAGCTACTGGCCTCAGATAACCTACAGTGCTTTTAGTCTATCCTGACATCAGCTGAGTCATATGCATTATCTTTGAGAACTAAAACACTTTTACACAAGAACTCCAATAGTCTCTCACCCATAAAACCAATGCACCCTTGAGTCAACAACGTACTACTCCAAGCTATGGTTTTGTGCTAATGCCAAAAAATTATTGCTACTGCTTACCAATATGTTATAATAATATATTCAATCACAATAGAATATAATCCAACCAGTGTCTTAAACTTTAAAAGAGCTGATTTTAACAAACTCAGAAAGAGACTAAGAAAAATTCTGTGAATCATCAGTGGGTCAGATGTGAGCCATCAGTGAGAGGCTGGTGATGGGTCTTGTGATGGGGAGACACAGACGTTGCACTAGTTTCATCTTATCATTACTACATACATATCCAAGGTAAACAGAAATAACCCTATTGCCCGGTTACTATAGTGTTGCCAGGTTAGCAGCACTCAAAATTCATCAGAAGATGACTTGAGGCTATAAAGGGCTCAACTTTATAAACTGCAGTTAATGAACATCCAAATTGTTCCTGAGAGAACAAAATCTCAAAATATTCAAGTAAAATAAAACCACATTAAAATTCATAATCAAATCAAATGAAAACTCAAAACAGAGCATTCCTTATGATTTATTCATTAATTCATTCATTCAAAGAACATATAGATTATACTTTTTCAACACTCAAATCTATGAAATTCAAAATCCTTACCAGATTTTCATTCAGATGCTGCAAATTGTGTAGAAGTATAATTGATAAATACTGCTTCCCCATGTAAAAATTAAAAAGGCCCTCAATTAATCATACAAAATAAATACAGAGTTTTAAAGATTTGGAAGTACAGTGGTACCTCAGTACTCATCATTAATTATTTTGGGAGGCGCAATAAGTAACAAAAACAACGAGTACTATTTTTTCCCCATACGGAATAATGTAGTGAGTCTGTCAGAACCCATATATTATTTTATTTTTTTAATAAAAAGTTTTATTGTTTTTTTCCATTTTTTTCCAGCTTAGGACACAATGTGGTGGTCAGGGTGTCAAATCATTCAAAGACAAAATCATATAAGTATAGCTCAAATTAATTATCAAAAGTTTCCTATTTTATATAATATTGCTTATTAAAATTAATACAGTTTTAGGTAAAGTTCAAACAAACAAAAATCATCAATCACATGCGATTATAATAATCTATATCCTGTTTTTAAGCTTTACTAATTACAGTTGTCATACTCCAATTACATTTTAGTAAACATATAGTTGGGATTTCAGAACCCATATATTATTAAGGGGGACTCTTTCTAATTCTATTTCTTCTATTACTCTGGGTTCTGTCATACTCCTAGAGGGGAGGGGGGAAGATGCTGCAGGCTGTCTCTTTGTTTTTCTCTATCGCTACACTGTATCCCTTTTGCTGTCTCTGCATCCTTGCTCTTTGAACTGTTTTAGAGTGCTGCAAAGGATGCCAGACTAGTTGAAAGACTACACATTAAGCAATGCAATGCATATTTAGATTGCGCTATTTATAAGGAGTGAAAGTCCAGAATGTATCCTGTAAGTAAGAAAAGCTCAAGGCAAACAAACAGAGTTTTGCAGTTAGTGCACACTGATTTAATTGGTCCTATGGCGCCCTCTCTAGGAGGGGCTAGATACGTACTAGTCTTAGTAGATGACTATACCAGATATGGGTTTTGCTATTTATTAAAGAGCAAAACAGAAGTTCTACAACAGTTCAAGCAATGGGTGAATTGTGTAGACTAGAGTGAAGATATGGCCATAAAGTATGCCAGCTGTAAACAGACAGGGGGAAAGAGTTCATGTCTGACAATTTCCAAAAATGGCTGAGGAACGTAGGCATAAGGCATAGACATACGAATCCGTACTCACCAGCAGAAAATGGAGTGGCTGAACGAAGGAATGGCATATTGCAAACCATGAAAGACTCATTGCTGGCAGATGCAGGGGAAGCCATGAAAACAGCCAACTATCTAGTAAACAGGGTATGGAGTGTTGCTATCGAAACTCCATATTACCTGTTATATGGAAGGAAACCTTCATTGGCTCACCTAAGGACATTTGGCAATTATGCCTGGTGCATATTCCCAAAAGTACCAGAAGGGACAGAAAAAGGCCAGGAAACTTAGGTTTGTTGGATATACCAAAGGGTATAGATTCACAGATGGAACAAAGAAGGTTGTGATTTCAAGGTCTGCTAGTTTTGCAGAACAAAACAATTGGGACAGGGTGCATGCTAACACCGAGGTATTCATGCCAACACGTAGTGCTATACAAAGCCCAATGAAGGAAGAACAGAATAGCAGGTCAGAAATAATAGGAATAGAAGAGGATAGACCTGAGGTAAAGAGAGAAGTGACAGCAACACAGGAACAGATGATACTGAGGAGGTCTGAACGTAGCAATAAATGTGTACCTCCTGATCGGTTCTCAGCAACTGGGGTTAGAGCGTATAGTGTAAGGTATGAACCCTGTAATTACCAAGAGATGTTATCATTGCCTAAAGTAGAACAGGATAAATGGAAGGAGGCTATGGACAGAGAAATGGAGTATGTGAATGTGCATCAGGTGTTTACCCTTATGAGATTAACAGAAGGACAAAAGGCCGTGAGGTGTAAATGGGTATATAAAAAGAAGGTTTTACACAATAATGAGTTGCAGTATAAGGCATGGTTAGTTGTGCAAGGATTTACACAGAGAAAAAATGTTCATTATGATGAAGTGTTTGCACCAACAGTAAGAGGTGAGACCATAAGGCTAGCATTGGCTTTAGCAGCTGCACACAGTTATACCATATATCATTTCGATATTACCACTGCACACACACACACACACACACACACACACACACACATATATATATATATATATATATATATATATATATATTCAAAATTTGGAATGCTAACAAAGAATTAAGGGAGTGCTGAGATAGCTATTTCTAACCTTATTTGGTTATCATCTCCAGATTATGAAATTAAGCACCCTGGATATGTATATAAATTGAATAAAGCCATATATGGGTTAAAACAGTCAGCAAGAAACTGGAATCAGTGTTTAGATGCTGCTCTCAAAGAGTTAGGTTTTAGAAGCAGCAAGGCAGATCCGTGTTTGTACACTGCACAGTATAAGGGTGCAGAGTGTTTCCTGTTAGCTTATGTTGATGACTTGTGTTTTATTACTAAGAATCGCTCCCAGGTTGACTCCTTTGTCAAGCAACTTGAAAGGAAGTTCTAATTTAAAAACCTAGGAAAAATAAAGAATTATCTAGGTGTGGAGATAAGAAAACCAAAACAGGGAGGATATGTGTTAAGCCAAACAAGGAAAATATAGCCGATATGTTGACTAAGCCTTTAAATGCAGG